ATGGTACAAAATGCTTTGACTTGGCTTATAAATAACAATCCACATTACCAAGATGTACATCTCAACCAACAGTGTTTAGAGTCTTTGCCCGAAAATGGTATACCAAATGACCTGATTTCAATTGAAAGGGAAAATGACGTTAGTGAATCTTCTGACCTTAATTTTGGCCCTCAAAATAAGGAAGAAATTGTTTATAATGAGGGAACACAAGTGAACCCCTTTTTTCCAATTCCTCAATGCCAGCAGCAAGAAACTGATGCTATTCAACAAACGTTATCTAGCATTGATAATCAACACATTGCTTGGCCAACAGTAGATAATGAGCCAACGAATGAGTACCTTACTCCATTTCTAGCAACAATGGCTTTCCCAACATTATTTCCAGATGGGAAGGGTGATCCGACAAACCTGTCTCTTAACCGTGATGTACACTTTGACGAAAGAATCAAACACCTAAAATATGCAGAAAAGGAAAATGGTTGTACCGCTTCGCTTCCCACACTAGGTTTGCTTACTGGGCTTTGAATAACTATGATTCAATGAAAAAGAATATTACAGCAAACTGGAATTTTTTTGAAACAGAATCCAGGAGAGGCACATCTTACAACAGAAGACCTACAACAAATGGCAGCTAATGCCAACAGTAGTGTTTTTCTTTCCAAGATATCACGCTCTCTCAGAAACATAACAGGATCAAGTGCTTATTGGCAAAAAGCTAAAGAGGATTTAACGGCAATCATCACCCATGCTGGGCCCCCAACATTCTTCTTTACATTTTCATCAGCTGACCTGCATTGGCCTGAATTACATGCACTCCTTAAAAGTGATAATACTGATCCCACAGTTGAAAACCACCGTGAGAATGTGATTAACAACCCCAACATCACTGACTGGTTTTTCACTCAGCGGTTGGAAAGCTTTATTATTGGCTATATCATTCGTTAGATGCCAAGTGGCACTGGTATAGATTTGAATACCAGGCGAGAGGTTGCATTCACCGTCATGGGGTTGCTAAACTAAAAAACGATCCAGGGCTGTGTACGCTATCCCAAGTAGCAGCCGATTTTAATGTTCTCAAAACATAGCCAGTCTTAACATCTTATTGATGCTGACAGTTGAGCAGGAAAGTGACAAGTTCAAGCAATGGATCAAGGAAAGCATATGTATTAGATCGAACACTCCTAGTATGAACAGGGACGAGGGAGCCTATCAGCCTTCTCCCATGTGGACACAAGTGATCTCCACCCCCAAACCAGGGGGGGGAGGGGTGTCTACAGAGTGACTTTGTGCGTTTATCGCAATAATTAACACCTTCACAAGCCTATTTAAGGCTTCTGACACTTTAAATGTTTTTCAAGTTTTGATAAAGATGGCTTACAGTCATCGAAACTGTCAGCATCAATAAGATGTTAAGACTGGCTAAGTTTTAAGAACATTTAAATCGACTGTTTAACTTCACTAGCCTGATGAATTTCTTCAAGAAATCACAAGTAGCTCTTCAAGGCTACTTGGCTGAACTATCACTTGATCATGCTGAGCCAACAGATGTTCCAAAACTCAGTCAACAAGTACTTGATGGTAAAAAAGCTTCAGAAGAAGTTTGTCAATATGTAGACTGGTTACTATCCACTTACAATCCAGATCCACCAGATAGTGGTTCTTGGAAAAAACCTTCAGTCCATCCTTGTCAGAGATGTCACAAAGACATCCAGAACTCTGAGGATGATTATGTGGATTTATTAAATGTGGTTCAAAGACACACTTGTAGTAGTTCTAACTACTGTCTTAAAAAGAAACAAAATGATTCAGGACTTAACTGTAGATTTAACTTTCCATTTGAATCTTGCATTAAGACAAAACTTGAATTTGAACCCATCCATTCAAAGAGTACAGACACTGTATATAAAGCAAAAATAGTAACCAAGAGGAATGACTCCAAGCTTAATAATCATCAGCATCTTCAACTACAAGGGTGGAGGGCAAATTGTGATATTCAGGCAGTAATTGATTACCATGCATGTGTTGATTATCTTGCCAAATATGAACCACCTTCGCCTATTAACAAAACAGCATTTAATGCCATCATTCTTAGTTGTAATACTAATACCAGTCTAACAAAACTTATTAAAACAGTAATTATGAAGTCACTTGGACAAAGAGACTTTTCAGCACAAGAAGCAATGCACCATCTTTTTCCCTCAAAGCTGGTGAGCTCATCATTCAATGTGATACCCATTAGTTTAAATGGTTCACGCAAAATCAAAACAAACTCTGCTGAAGGAGATGTTGTGACAAGTGATTCATTACTTGATATTTATGCTAACTGTGCAAAGTATGCTGAAATTTACCCAGATAGAACGTGTTTCAATTTTGTTACTTTTGCCACAAAGTACAAACTTGTAAACAGTAAACTTGTGGCACAGCCAGACAATATCATCCCCAGATGTTTTCCGGTATACTCGCCCAACAACAAAGGGCCTAATTTCCTTTTTACTGTAAATACAAGCTTCTTAGATATAAACCCTGGCACACAACACAAGAGAATGCTTGGGATGACAAGCCAGGTACAAACAATGATCTAGACAAATCTCTTACTCCTCCTTGTGACTGGCAAAATGACAATTTTAAATATCAAAATAGTCAAATAAAGGAAATGTCTTTGTGGATAAAAAAGAGCAAAGATGTATTAAATACAAAACAGGATAGCCACTGACTAGTATCCCATGACCATATCGCGGGCTCATGTGTCAACTCATTGAGGTGACGTGATTTATTTGGAAGCTGTCCGCTGACCAGTTAATTATTTTACTAGCTCGCGATCAATGTTCAGTCTCATACTTTCTAGCTAGTTGTAGTTTGGGATCGGAGCACAGGAAAACTGATACACATATTGGACATCAATGTTATGATCAATTGACAGCTGTCAAAACAAGGTATCCACTGACCAGTATCACTTGACTGTATCGCGGGCTCAGGTGTCGACCCATCGAGGTCAAGTATTTTTTTTGAAGTTATCCGCTAACAAGATACTGGTTTTCAAATGATCTCAGGCTCAAGTTTAATTTTTTTTAAAATTCATATGAAATATGTCGTGTTTATGTGCCGCACAATTAAAATTTTGATTTCAAACTGACCTCGGACGCAAAAATTCAGCCAGCTGCTACAGGCAAGGAAGACAGTTGCTTTTGTCTTTTCTCGCCATGTTCACGCGTTGGTCACGCTCTACGTCCAATTTTTATGCCCTGATTGGTCAAAATTTGACAGGTGAGTTCATGCGGAAAATTTATGCAGCATCTTGAATCTTGTTTACTTTGACAGCTGAAGCTGACAGAGTTTTGTGTCAACTTGTGATGTTTTTAACTTTCTTTTTCCACTGGATGTACAAAATAAAATTCAGCTGCTATCAGGAGTCTTCTGTTATTCATGGCTAGTTTGTTTATTTGGTTTTTGGTTGAGTTAAAGTCGGAAATCCAATTTTGCATGGCATCGTTTTCGCTTTCATCTTGCTTAATGGGTAAGAGGGTTGCAAAGTCTGAAGCGATACTGGCCTTACTTGACACCTTTCAGGAGCTGCCTCTCGAGTGGTAAGCCCAAGTAGTTATTGTATTGATGTTTGTTTTTTATTCCCAATTTAATGAAGTCGAGCGTAGTTTATGCGGCTATGTTGTTTACGCACGTTTGTAAGATTTGAGACAATGGTCTGACCGAGTATCAGGTTTGTTATAAGCTTACAGATCTTTAAAAAGCCTTTAGACATTTTCTCACCGCAAATAGAAAGAGAACGTTTCAAGCATTATTTAGTTATAATTCTGGCTGTAAAAGAAAGGTTTGAGCGATTTCTTTGCCTCGAGTTCGTCTTTGAAAAAAGCAAACACCGGGAAGCTGGCTTAAAACATAAACTTCAGCTTTAAAGCTCAAAGACTCAGGATTTTTAGAGACACTTTAATACTTGTCTTCCTGAATGAAAATTGTCGTCTCTGTATATGTTTCACCGAATTATATTTCTTTTATTGATTGTTAGTACTGTCTCTTGTAATGTTAATCGCTGTGCCGATTGTTTTCAGTCGTTCAGTGAACAACGCTTCCCGGAGTACTCAAAATGCCGCGCGATAAACTGTTTTAAAATAAAAAATAAACATAATGAATTCTTTATTATGTTGGAGCATAACTATGTCAATGTTCATTCAAACACTCGCCACCACTAGCACTGCAAAAGTCAGAACCGGCTGCCCGTATAGATGATTTTGGAAATTTTTTTAACAGTTTACGGCTAAAGCCCACGCGTGCTTCGATCGTCCTGAATATTGAATGATAGCAATTTGTATCGCAATATTGTCAAATACTGCATTCTGTTGTCCGAGGTCTGTATGACAAAAACAGGGCCTCATAGTACTGTTTCACCTCAGATGTGATGTATAAGCGATATAAACGCTTGGTTTACACGCACCCAGATTTGTTGGGAAGATTTTGTAAAGTAAACTTGTCGAACGCAAAAAATTTGGCCGGATTTTTTTTTTCCAGGCCTAATTAATCTACGGTGATCAAGAGCCATTATGGCTCTTAATATAAATGTGATCGAAAATGATTGCCAGTTTTTGGGTGTACCTATGAGGCTAACAACTCGATGTGAGATTTGGTTCACTCTTGGGCTGTTAGCAAATTATTTTTTGTAAAATCACTTAGCCTTTCTCTGAAAAGTCACACGAATGTGCTCTAAAGTTAACTGAATTGTGGAATACAACTTTATTGTTTGATTTAAATTATAAATTTATTAATGGGAGCCTCACTTTTAGCCCTGGCTAAATCTATATATTAGCTTGAGAGACATATTACCGAGTCAGGTTTCTTTGAAAGGAGTGATATTGTTTTCCCATTAAAACATGTCTACACTTCACATTAAAAGACATTACCCTAACTATTCCTGTTTTGTAGCTTCTCAGAACTCTGAAGTACAAGAAATCTTGGGCTACATTCAAGCCATATCTCCTGTCAAGAAAGCCATGTTTTCCCCAACAAGATACTTCAACTGCAGTATCCAGGGAAGTAACAAAGTAGTCAGGGCAGTATGTTTTAACCCAGCAAAGAGACCCCTGTTGGAGAAGTACCACAAAGGAAAGACAGGGGTCAGACTCCACAACATGTGCTCTTCCATCAAGGATGACGTTGAGACCATTATCATCCAAAACAATACAAGTGTGGAACCTGTGGCGTTACCATATGTCTACAAAGACGCTACAATATCATCTTCCTTGCCAAGTCTTTCATCTCTGCAGGAGGTGTCAAAAGAGCAATTGGTTGATGTGAAAGCAAAGGTATCCGGTATCACTGGAGTGAAAACAATTAACAGTCGTTATGACCACCCTCTTAAAGCGCAAGAAGTCCTTTTCGTTGACCACACCACTTCTATAAAACTTGTTCTGTGGCAAGAACATTGGGACAAACTTGAAGACCAGAAGACTTATAACTTGGAAAATCTAAGACTCGCGGAGACCAATGGAATCCGCTATCTGAACACTTCAAAGTCAGAGCAGTTTCTTTACAAAGAGATTCCTCCTTTTACACAAAACTTGGCACAAGTCACTATAGAGATGGAGTCACTAATGCAGAAAATATCAGCCAAATTAAGTGGTGTCCAAAACGCGTCAAAAAATCTTTCATGTACATCATGCAAAGAGAGGGTTTCAATCTAATCTAATGGAAAAATTGCAACGTGTCCATCCTGCAAGATGATGATGAAAACATCTTCCTGTGAATCTCAGTGGTTTTAAAAGTGCTTTTCCAGAACACTCACAACATAAATGACAAACTTGCACTTACACTCTTTCACCCTGAGGTGCATAAACTGGCTGTACTTGTACTCAGCATAACCTCGACATACATGTAACATCAGAGGAAGAGCTTATTGAGGCCATTTGACTAATAATAAATGTTGGACATCATATTCTGTATTTTGAGCTGTTCTAAAGGCTCCACAAACAGTTTTTAGCTCACGAAAGTTTCACTTGAGGCTATTTGAAGCTCCACCAAATGTTGTTGTTTCAACCAAAGTGCAAAAATCCTTTTTTCAATTCAGAATGTTCATGTTCACTTCAGTTGAGTTCCAAAATGGTCACCATGTTCTATAGAATGTTATACATGATTTCCCGTTAATTCAAAAAATAACTTTATTGTCCGTTATTTCTGGCTAGAATATACATGTTCCTGTTCAAACACAATTTATTGTGTCCCAGCGTTCAGCACGAAAAAAGTAGTCTTGGGTCTTTAATGCCACAAGTTGAAAAGACGTGCAAGTAACAGTTTCATTTTATAGTAATTTTCAGTAATTGTTTACTTGTGGAACTCCCAATAAATAGAATTAATGATTACATCTTACATCAAGTTGTCAACTGTTTGCTTTTCAACCATGGCCAGGTTTTTAAAAGCTGGGTTAAGATAGCCCAGGGTCAGTGCGAAATTTGGATTCAGATTAGAAAGCTTAAAAAGTAATTCAGTTTCATTCATTTTGTCAACAAGTTGATGATTGGATGCTCTTAAAAATGACCTGGAAAATTATCCGAAGAACTGCTTTTCAACAATAACATTAAAAAAACCCGGATTTTAAAGAGCCAATCAGCCTTCAACAACTTAGCTCTGGAGAACATCTGTTGCACCAGTTACACAAAAAGTTCTATTTACATGCCCGACACACTCTAGCCACTGTCTCCTCAAATTACAAGCACTTACAACGAAGCATACAATATCACTACCGTTCACAACCTTTTCATAATGATGCACAAGTCAAATAGAGGTTTCGCTGTACGCAGCCCTTAAGTTCCAATATGCAGTAATAACATTTCTCTATCGCACAAACCATCCACCCTTCCCCCTCACCTGCTACCTGTTCCCCTACAAACACCGAACGCACTCGCCTAAGCTCCGATTACCTCTAGTTGTACCATAATTCTTGACTTCCCCATACCCTCTATGTCCTTTGCCTTTTTCGGGTAGTTTGTATTTGATTTGAAAAACTTTCATCTAACCTTTGCATTCAGGTGCCTGTAAAATCTCCCTTTCTTACAGAAAAGAATTATATGGTGAACACCTTGGAATTAACAGGTCCAGAGTACTAGGCTTCATTCAATTTTTCCAAGAGCACAGCCTTGCAGTGGTGAAGCAACACATATTCACATTTCTACCTTTCTAGCAAATGACCATTTTTGATTGAAATAATTGTTCTAAATTTGAATATATTCAGAGAAATGAACACTAAAATGATAATATCTTGGGGCACTATGAAAACCTTGTGACCCTGTCCAGGGCTCAAAATTCAACTGATACGGTCACCAACGCGACTAACATTATCTCCTTGGTGACTAAAAATTCTGGTTTAGTTGCCACTTTGGCAATCAGACTTCTCTACGATTTAGATTTAAATTAAAAGAGTAAGGTTAAAACAAACATTTCATCTTATCTTGATTCGCTTTCATCATAAAAATGTGTTAAGTCCCATAAACAAACCCAGTTTACCTCTAAATTTATACCAACTTCTGTCCGTGATCTGTCAGATCTGATGGATCACACCATACTACAGGCTTCTGATAGGTCGCGGGAAAAAAGTCAAATTTTGCGGGATTTTCAGAGACTGATTAGCAGAAATTTTCAGCTCTGAAGTCCTTTAAACATCTGACAGTTTGTGGGCCTCCCTTTCTACAAGAGTCACAGCAAGACATGGAAACAGTTTGTGGACATCCGTTATAAGCCACAATATACTTGTAACAGATTTGTTTGTTATAATTAACTGTAACCATAATAATATTTATGTATGTTCATATGACACTGACATTGGAACAGACAGTTGGGTATTAAGCCATCAAACTGCTCTTTTTTTGGTTCTGGTTTTGGACTCCAAATGATGGACATTAGGCATTGGAATTGTTACTACAGCATGTTTCATTGCCACAAAATCCAATACAGTCAGATTTATATAAATATCTTAAGGTTAGTTGACGTTGTATTGGTAGAAACATTCATCACTGACGACAAGAAACACCTTTCAATGCCATGAGTATGAAGCAATTGTTTTGGCAATGAACCTGACATTCTGCATTTCCACTGCAATTTTAAATAACTTTTGCAAAATCGTTATTCTAGAATATCTTTGGGTTTTTCTAGCAACTATGAATTTAATTATTTCTTCAAAACTAATTTTGCCCTAATTATCTTTCTACTTTTGGATATTCCTGAAACAAAAACACTTCTTGTCATGTAACATTTTAGACAAAAATAAAACTCAAATGCACCGCTGCCCCATTTCACAACTTTTTCAAAAGGTCGACCTTTTCAAAATATTGGCGGGAGTAATAGAATCCATCTGTGTAATGTCTGTCTCTCTCGAAAAAGAATGAATGCTTGCACTAAGTTGTCTGATAAATTATATTCCGTTTCAACGGCTGAAGAAGCCCACAAGCTAATCCAAGATTTTGAGACTCTGCATACAGTAAAATTTTCCTGCTTCAAGGCAAGCAAAGGCTTTGGAGGCACGGGTGAGTAGAAGCTATATTACTATGACTTTATTACAAATAACGCCGGTCATTAACAAAATCTTACCTAAGCTGTACTGATTGAAGGTCGGTTTCCCTGCCCCTTACATATGAAAGCCTCATATCCTTAACCCCTCCTTCCCTGCTCCGTCAACCGTCTTTGCTTCATATCTTACTACGATATAAACACATCCCACTTTTGGCTATATTTCGAATTTTCCTTTCTAAGGGACTTGTCAGAAATTAGCAGGAGGGGAGGGGGATCGAAACAGAGGGACGGTCACAACTTTTTGAGACTCAGAAAAGGGAGGGGTCATAAAAAATGGGCCGTTAAAAGGGGGAGGGTCATGCAAATATATGCCTGTGAACTACTGCTGTAAACTGTTCACTACCACCTCAGCAACCCAAAGTCCAAATGGATTGTCCACAAACTTCTGCTGGAAACTGTTCACAACCTCCCCAGCAACCCAAAGTCCAAATGGATTGTCCACAAACCACAGCTGGAAACTGTTCACAACCTCCCCAGCAACGCAAAGTCCAAACAGATTGTCCACAAACTACTGCTGGAAACTGTTCACAACCTCCTCAGCAACCCAAAGTCAAAATGGATTGTCCACAAACTACTGGTGTAAAGTGTTCTCAACCTCCCCAGCAACCCAAAGTCAAAACGGATTGTCCACAAACTACTGCTGGAAACTGTTCACAACCTCCCCAGCAGCCCGAAGTCCAGATGGAATATCCACAAACTACCGCTGCGAACTGTTCTGAACCTCCCCAGCAGCCTAACGTCCAGATGGATTGTCAACCACACTCTGCCCGGCAAGAAGTACACAACAGACTCAAACAAAATCTTATCCTGGAAGCTGCTTTGACCCTCCCAAGAAGCCCAAAGTTAAGGATGAACAGCATATCCACTCAACTGTCCAGGCAGTAAAAGTAGTGCAGGGCTCCGTGAACCAACAGAGCTTGCATTTTAGTGAAGCTAACAGAGGGAAGCAGTGCACCAGCAACAGCCTAACTTTCCTTCTACATCATGTCACCGTTCCTGAAGCAAAGATTTCTAAAGAAATGATTGGTGCAGTTTTGAAAGCAGGAGATAAATTGCACACAGTGTTAACAAGTGCCTTATTGAGTCCTTAAGAGTGGTTGTCCCTAGAGGAGGTACAAACTGCCATTCGAAAAATTGGAGAGCACAAGCAAATCATATTTCCCCAAGCCATAATTACTGGTGATGTCTTCTCCCATAAAACCATTTTTCCCTTCATGACCCTGGAAGAAGGCTTGAAAACGGCTACTCAGACAAATGCTAGAGCCTTACTGAGGATCCTTGAGTTCACTGTGGCTGTCAAAAAACTTACCAATGGCAGCTTTGTATTGTTTGATCCACATGCAAGGAACTGTCACGGCCTTGTAGATGGCACTGGAAGAGCAATAGCCATGCTGTTTTCAACTCTAGATGCCATGGTTGACTATCTAAGAACATTCGTAAGACAAAAGGGTTGTGAGAAGAGGGCGCCACTCTTAGAAGACAACATGTCGTTATGTGAGTGTGCATTTGAGGTGCTAGCAATCTCTGCTGATTGGGCAGTGGACAGTATACTCTCAACGCTCCTTAAAGGAGCATGCAAAACGAGGTAAGAATAATGATTTTTAGCTTTCCCTTGGGAAGGAAAACAGCTGTCAGCTAACATGACAAACATAAGTGAACAATCCTCATAATGTACATTTAAGGACTGTGTACTAGTAGAACAGGTCCACAACTCTTTCACCAAGTGGTGCTAGTTTTATGATTAATTATTCACAAAGGCTTATGGTTGTAGAGTGTTAAACCTTACATGACTCTTTTGATTGGGCAAATTTCATCATCTGTTGTAACATTGTTGACAAGTGATGGCTTGTTTGTAATGACTGATATTAAGGCATGTTTTGATATTATTTTGTACATGAAATTAAAGAAAAGTGATGCTCCTCACCCCTTCGCGCTAGCTGAAATTGGCTCTCCTGAGCGCAATTCTAACAATCCTGAGTATCTGTTTTTGAATGAACATCATCAATTAGTTTTTTTTAATTCCCCATTTCATTATTCTCTTAGATGCCATATCCTAGTACATGTTAGGTCCATATTTTTTTGTTTACAATAATAATGTTCACTATTTCTCAGTAAGATTTTT